GGGGGGGTGATCTCTGCTGCCCCATGCTGTGCGGGTTAGGGGGGTGGCTCTGCCACAACTGCCCAGAGGCCTCAATCACGGCTCCTGCTACCAGAGTGCAGGGCTTTTTTTTCTTTTTTTTTTTAAATGCCGGGAGGCTGGAGCTAGTCGGGGGATGTGGCCGGGCAGGGCAGCCATGGGGGCTGCTTCTTCAGCGTTAAGCAAAATGAGCATTAAATGAAACCTCAAGTATTTGACAACCCAAGATGGTGACCACAGTTGTTTTTAATGACCCAAGATGGTGCCCATGAGTGTTATAACGAAACTGAGTGCTAAGTGAAATCAGGTATCAATTTAAAATAAGCATTATAGCGAAATAGTGCTCAATGAAACGGTGTTAAATGGGGGTTGCCTATACTGTATACATATGAGAGGCTCTAGAACAGCTCTGCTGTAGGAGTAGTGGGGGCAGGAACTCTAAATATGCGTACTGTGGAGCTTAGTCAGTGTTTGAAAACAATTACATGATAGCAAGGGCCTGGACTCTGATGCAAGAGATCCCTGTCCCTCCCAGTCCTACATTCCTGTGTAAGGGGGAATCTAATTCAAGTAATCTAAACATTAAACTGCTTGACCATACTGTCTCATTTTATCTCTGACACTAGGGTTTCTTAGGGTGATAACTTTTATTGGATGAACCTGTGTAGTTGGGATAGAGTTAGACAAGTTTTCACCCAATCAAGAATGTCTTGGATTTTATAGTTTGGCTAACTATCCCAACTATACAAATTCAATTTCATCATAAACACTTGTGTTCAGTAATGTGGGCTATGGAGTTTGCCAGATAGGCAGCATAGTTACTTAATTTTGATTTACATACAGGTATTTTTTCACATTTTTATAATTTTTTTAATAATCCTGAAATTAAATACATTTGTCTTGCATTCTCACAACTTATTTGCATTTCTGTTTTTAGTATGCTTAAAGGTGGGTGAGCAGATAGTAAAATTGTCACTGTATATCTTTTAGACTTTTGGAATGTACCCTTTCATAGTGCATAGAGTTATGGGTAAAGCTGATGGCCTGTTGTGGAAATTGTTGAGTTTGGTTTATTCTTTTCCTTAAGCAACATCACAGCATACATTTTTATGTTGTCTACATGTCAGTAGATATTAAAATTATTAAAAAGACTTGAAGCAGTCCTGAAGCTGCTGGTCCCTCTAGTAGTATTGCGGGCAAGTCAAAGAAGAAATATGAACCAGTAAAAGGAGAATACCAAATACCAGATGTTTGAATGTAGTATAGGATCAGTCTGTTCCTGTCTTGTTGGGAGCAAGGAGTAATTTGTAGATGAGAACCTCAAACAGTCTACTTCTGCCTAGTGTTGTGAGGGACAACAAAAAACCAAGGAAACCTGGGTCTTCCTGACTGCTAGGCAGACTTCCAACCTAGTTTTGTAGGGTGTACCCTAAAATTAAACTAGGTTTGAATCTGAACCAGCATAGGATTATTTTTTCAAGTTTTCATGATGGTCAACCTTTTAGGACAATGTGGAAAAGGTTATAACCACATTTTTGGTAGCTGTTCAGGTTCTTTTGGCTTTTTTTGTAGATTCTTGTAAGAGAGGAAATGAGATGAGAAGATAGGAATTGTGAGAACTAACATTGCTTTTTTATTCATGATTGTAGTGTTCTCTTAAGTGCTGTAAGTGGGGAAGACACTCAAGATCGTACTGATCGACTGCTTTTGACACCTTGGGTTAAATTTCTATGGGAATCATACAGACAGTGTTTGGACCTTCTCCGAAACAATTCTAGAGTGGAACGCCTCTACCATGATATTGCACAACAAGGTAAAATGATAGGGTGAAATATAAATTATGATGAGACTGAGGCCATGGACAGGTGTTCGTATCTAGTGGTAAGAATTTATGTGAGATTCCCACTGCTAGAAGACAGCCCAGGAGCTGGGGCATGCATGAATGCATTCCAGACCACCTGGCTGGAGAGCTACACAGGCAAAATCCCTCGCAGCTCACCTCTGCATGGGCTATTGGAGACCTGGGTTACTAATCAAGGTTATTTGGACAACTTGACTTTTATGTTCTAATGCAGTTTGAGTCAGTGGGTAGATTAAAAATCCTTATTCAATAGCACTCACCCTGTACATCATTTATTTTCACAGCTTTTAAGTTCTGCTTGCAGTACACTCGTAAGGCCGAGTTTCGTAAACTCTGTGATAACCTGAGAATGCATCTAGGGCAGATCCAACGCCATCATAACCAAAGTACAGCAATCAACCTCAATAAACCGGAGAGCCAGTCTATGCACTTGGAAACGAGGCTGGTACAACTGGACAGTGCTATTAGCATGGAGCTATGGCAGGAAGCTTTCAAGGCAGTGGAGGATATTCATGGGCTCTTCTCTCTGTCTAAGAAACCACCCAAACCCCAGTTAATGGCAAACTACTATCACAAAGTTTCAACTGTTTTCTGGAAATCTGGAAATGCTCTCTTCCATGCATCCACACTTCATCAACTTTATCATTTGTCAAGAGAAATGAGAGAGAATCTCACACAAGAGGAGATGCAAAGGATGTCTACCAGAGTCCTTCTGGCCACGCTGTCAATCCCTATAACTCCTGAGCGAACAGATATTGCTTGTCTTCTGGATATGGACGGCATTATTGTTGAAAAACAGCGACATCTGGCAACACTGCTGGGCCTCCAGGCCCCACCTACACGTGTCAGTCTTATTAACGATATGGTAAGGTTCAACGTGGTGCAGCATGCACTTCCAGAAGTGAAGGAACTTTACAATTGGCTTGAAGTAGAATTCCACCCCC